CATTATCGGGTGATTTGAGTTGAAATTCAAATATCGGTTAGTATGAGTAGGTTTTCTATAGACCAAGGTTTCGAAATTGTCTAAATTTTTTTGAATCAGTATGTCGAGAAAAGGAATTTGGTGATTTTGTTCTTTTTCAATAGTGAATTTAATTGTTGGTTCTTTATTATTCAGATAAGATAAAAATTCATCAAGTTTTTGTTCGCCATGACTGTAAATAGAGATCATCAATATAACGCCACCAAATTATTGGTTTAAATTTGTAATTATTAATGAACGTTGATTCAAAATTTTCCATAAATAAATTACTGAAAAATGGGGATAATGGTGACCCCACAGCCATTCCAAAATTTTGTTTATAAAAATTGTCATTGTATTGAAAATAAGTTGACTTTACACATATTGTTAAAAGTTCAATAATGGTGTTAATGCTTAGTTGTGTGCGTTCTTTAAGATTGACGTCATTTTGTAATTTTTGTTTGACGATATTTAAAGTTTTATTAACAGGAACGTTAGTGAATAGACGAAGAGAAATATATTTGGCTAAGGGATGTGTAGGTGAATTTATACTACTTTTGGTCGTAAAGGAATATTAACTTTATTAATTTTTGTAACTCCGTAAAAATGTGGTGTTTTACTATTGTGTGGTGTTTTTTATTGTCACATTTTTGATGCGAAATACCCAACGAGAAGTTTGTAAAAAAATTAATTGTTATTGAAAACTGAGAAATTTGCAAAAAACTATATCAGAACTACGGCAGTAATGTTTCTCAAGGTAATCTGTCTAATTAATATTGCGCAAATACCTGCTGCTTCGTAATTATTTAAAACTCCGGTAACCATGGAATTATACAGACTGACAATAAGATAAACAAGGGTAAACAGTAAATTCAATAAGATTTGTTGACAAAACAACCTGTTCTCATAACCTCGAATATTGGTGTTTAAAAATAAACCATACAACACATTTGAATGGTTAACTCCAAACAAGCTAGTGCTTGTGTAATCACATTATCCACTCTTATCAAGCAGCTTCTCGTATTCAGTTAATTAACTCCTGCTCCATTTGTATCTCCTTGTGCTTTGTGTATCGTACAAACGTGGTAGGAATCTGGTGCTTGGGAAAGTGTCAGTTATTGTGCTCTGAGTGCCCCTGGAAGGCCCTGATTCGATTATGTCCATTACTTGTTCCTCTGTGCCTGGAACCCGAACATCTATAGCCGTCCACTATCTTCCTGGAACCACTCCTAGCCCTTTGTTGGCGTGAGTTCTTTCAGTTTCTGCCATGTTACTGTAACATTTCCCCTGAACTAATCGCATATCCGCAAATTCGTGAAAGGAAATTCAAAGTATTTGTTTTTATTGACAAGGGCTATCCACCTGTAACTATCTGTTAATGACAAAAAACATCATTGCCGCTTTGACTTTTCATCAAAAAATTGTAGACGATAACTTTTTTGATATCAAAAATTTTCGTAATTTGAAGCGAAGATAGTAATTTTTCTTTTTGAATGCTTAAGTATTCCAATATGCTGCCAATTAAACATGGAAAAATTTCTAAATAATGCCTAATAACAAAGTTGAAGTTCGATCTTCAACTGTTAATATCTTCTAGAAATTTTCGAGAAAAAAATTTTCATATTTTTCTCGTAATCTCCAAGTGAGCCTCTATCACCCCTTAAAAGGAATGACGCCAATTTTGAATCACCCTGTATATTTGGATTGTGCACAGTACGTGGGGATTTCAGAATTAATTTTTGAAAATTTAGAGACTGTTGATCATTTGCCAAACAGTCTCTCCCAAATAAATTCAGCAAAGTTGATTTTTGAAAATTTGTAATTTTGCAATTACTTTTATATTCAACCACATATTTTTAGGTGTGCATGATTTGTTCTTCCCTTTACTTAATGCAAATTGCTGTTGCATTTTGAGAACATTCTTTATGCAAAGCTTAGTTTGTTACACTAAAGACTTACCTCTGCCGGATAAAATGGCGCCTGCAGTGAAACACAAATCGCGTTACAAAAGTCCGCAATCCCGATAACAATCAACGTAAGCCACTGCCTTCTTGTAAAATTCAGCATCGTGCACCAAACGAAGAAACTTGAAATCGATTTCCAAACCGCGTGCACACGAGTTATTTTGCAAAAACCACGTCCAGCAACGGCAAGTTCGCGTAGAAATAAGATAATTGCATGAATATCAAATAATTAGTGTACAAGTACTTTCTCACTACCATGTCGATCGCATCTGTAGTCAAAATAACTGCCACTGATAAACGATGTAGTCGGCGAACGTCGCTGGTCGAAGAAAAGCGCTCAAAAACAGCAAAAAAATCTGTTGAGAAACTACTAAATGTGCCTCGGTCTCAGTAAATCAGTCGTCACTTTTCTGGAAACGGAAATTTTAATAAAACGGCATTGATTATACTGCATGTGAACGTGTCTTGGGGCCAAAGGTTGCCCGATATTGTCCTATAAAAGTTCATCATGTTCCAAGTGATAGCAAGCCAATCGATCTTATTTTTCTCGTGCAAGACAACAGCTTTCAAGTGTTAAAAATCACTTTGTTATGACCAGCATTTCGATTAGATTTATTGCTGGTTTCCGGGAGCTTATGAAATGTGCTTTTGAACATTTTCAATTTCGATAAAGAGCTGCGTACAACATTTTACTCATTTTTCCAGTTAAAGATGCCAACCTTTAAAATATCTGCGTCTTGTCAACAATTAACCGGATATAAAACTATACAGGGTGTCCCGTAAGCACATGATCAAAAGGATACTGCGATATTATTTGCATCAAAAGAAGACAATTTGACCTAACTTTTTTAACAAAAAATGTCCGGCGCCTCTGCTATTGATGGTCAAAGTTCTTCAAAAAATGTATCTTTTTTTGAAATCTCGGGAGAATGGTACGATGTATTTTGGTGAAACTCGCTGTGAATTTGTTCTTATGTAAGACTGATATTTTGATGAAACAATCGAGTTCAGCCGGTTGGGCCAAGTGGTGAATTCTTGAGTGTCGTGGTACAAAAACTGCCAGAACTTTTAATTTGGTGGAGAAAATCAACTCATTTTTTTTTTGGTTGATGCACTCATCATTTATTCACAATTTTGTTTGTAAAATTCTGTAGCATTCATAGTTTTTGAAAAAAAAATTTGGAAACATTAACTGCAAATATCGCGATACGAGGCATAAATTAATTGTCCATCAATCTCACAAATTTTCCAAGACAACTCTTGCCTGAAAGCGTACTCGTTTACGCGGCGCATATTTACAGTTAACGCCTAACATTATTAAGTGGCAATAAAACAGATATATTTTTTGCGCAAAAACTATGGATGCTACTAGATTTTACAAAGAGCACAAAATTGTGAATAAATAATTAGTGCATCAACAAAAAAAAATGAATTGATTCCATCGACCAAATAAAAAGTTCTGGTAGTTTTTGTACCACGACACTCAAGAATTCACCACTTGTCCAAACCGGCTGAACTCGATTGTTTCATCAAAATATGATTCTTACATTAGAACAAATTAACAGCGAGGTTTACCAAAATGCATCGTGCCATTCTCTCGATATTTCGAAAAAAATAATTTTTTTGAAGAACTTCGTCCATCAATAGCAGAGAGCCAGAAATGTTAGATCAGATCGTCTTCTTTTGATCCAAAGAATATCGCAGTACCGTTTTGATCATGTGCTTACGGGAGGGTCACCCTGTATAGGTACCTCAGAAGCCAAAGTACAAAATTCACGCCTTTGTCGCCGAGTATTTCGTTTTTCTTCCTAATTCGTAAATTGGTCAAATTTTTCATCATTTAGCAAGTCGCCTTTGACCTTTTTTGGGGATTTAATGCGTTTTTTATCGCCTCGCATTCGTTAGAATTAGCTTGATTTTTTCCTCCGCGATAAACCTACTGCGCGTAAATAACTCAGTTAATCAACTTGCCGAAAAAATTCCATGTTGAAGAATTAAAACAATAGTTTACAAAAAATAAGGCATTTTTATTTATCACTCGGCGGTTTACTATAAAATTATACAAAGGGATTGAAAACCGCTCTAAATCTATTGCATGTTTTAATTCAGACAGTGGCGTTTAATGCCCAGAAAAATAGATTTTTGTTAGTTCTCTCCTCCACAGGAGAACTGCAGCGCTGCAGCGCCTAGGCACCAGCCGCCACTTTGCTGTTAAATAATCTTCACAGCTGAAGAAGTCCCTATCTATCACTATACAATATAAACTATAAAACTTTGTACATAAAACAACAGAATAATCAAATCCACTTGTTCAGAGAACGTTCCAATTTCAGTCTGATGAAGATTCACATGAACGTCTTCTTTGGAGTCCTAAAATACGCAAAAACAATTATTTAAGCATCAGGCAGCCAGGTTTTAAGGGGCAGCTGCATGAAGGCACTGTTCAAAAACCCTTTGAAATGTCGGGCCAATGATAGTCTTGCTGCTGGTTTCATTTCCTTGATGATTTCTTCTGAGTTGTTGTTGAGGAAGTTGTTCATTGCTTCTCCTACGGACAAATTTTTCGATAGTTTACTGCAAATCGGGTTGGATTGGAGGGTTCAACCCACCTATAACGTTGCCATGATTGATGATGTCTCTGATTCGAAAGCGGCTTTTTTTCAGTCGGAAATCGACCAGCATTTTGTCGATTTTCATATAGCGCACGTCGTCTTTGACGAATTCTGTGCCGAAGATTTTGGCGGCCGCATCGATGTCCACTAAACAAGCATAATCCCGCGCGTAAAACATGTAATTGTGCCTCAAGGAGAACTTACGGAAAATTGCCCAAAAATCTCCTTTAGAGCGGACGGGGAACAGGAGAACGTTTCCATTAACGTCGTATTTGCCTCGGATGTCCATTCTTGGAAATTTCAAGCCGATTTCTATTATGTAATTGTCCACATGTGCACTGAAATGTCCATGAATATCATAAGGAAATTGATGACAGGTTGAAAAAGCATTGGAGCAATTTAAGAAACTCACTTTATACTTTCCACTGTATAATTTTGAGCTCCCGTTGCAGTAACATTGTAAAAAGCTGCTTTGACTTTAAGGGGCCCCTGTCCATTTTCAATGATAATTTTGTCCAGTTTAAACGGATCAATGCTGGGCACGTTCAAATCGTTCAGTCCATTAATCAAGTAGGGCCTCAGATGGTTGAACGTCTTTTGTAGGCATTTGTTGATGTTCGGATCCTTCTTGTAGCAGGGCAGAATGTACTCAGCTAAAGTGTATCGAGGAATCATTTGAAGAATCAAGCGAGGTTTTAATTAGTTGCCGCTACAAACAACCGAAATTTATTACCACACATAATTTCCTGAATTAACGTAATTTTCCCTCGAGTACACCGGCTTAATAAAATCAGAAAGTAGGTCTGTGAAATATGCAGCAAATATAAGAGTTATGACCGCCAATTTTCGAGCTGAAGCTATCGAATTGCATTTTTATTCAAATGCCACTTTTGCATAACGGAAAATGTATTCGACTGGTTCGAAGGGGAATCGCATAATTGAAGAAAAAATGGAGGGTTATTGAATCTCTGGTCAAAGCCTCAAAATTGTGTTTAGGAGGAATTTTTCCTCAACGTTTCTCTAGCATGAGCCGATTGCAGCTTCAAAGGTTGAGAAACATGTGCAAGTGCACAAGTCTCGCGTTTAATATATACGGAAGAGGTAATGGGCACACATTATGCAACATCATTCGGTAATTTATACAAGAATGGAATGGGTACAAGACATTTCCTGCAGGCATGTTTTGCATTGTGCTCGCATGTAGCATGTTACGTTTCGGCGTTTTCAATTTTGACTCGTTCTGCACGTTTAAGGAATGTTATTTGAAAGTTCAAACATGAATTATACTGGATGGTTTTTCAACAACTGTGAAAACGAGTATTTTTTCATGGTTTCCTTGCTTTGCTTAGAATAAAAGATTTTTCAAATAGACAAAAAACGACACCAAAAGAAAAAAATACCAGTTAAACCGTGAACCAGGAAATAAATTTTCCGAAACTTTGCCTAAACCCCCAAATTTCAATATTTCATGTTTTCTTTATTTACTCAATTAAATCATCGGACTTTAGCCAACATCTCACTTTCTTACAAGAAGTCACACGTTACATAACAACCATGCCAACCTTCACTGGGTCAATGTCGCGCTGAGCCGAAGAAAGCGAAATTAAACACTCCTCACCTAGATTTTCTTAGATCTTGTCTTTGCGTTGAATTGCGGCAAATTCTAATTGGTATTTAAATTCTCTCTAAAATTGATCAGTTACATCACAGAACGTGTGTAATGTGATCATGCATTCAAGCGGGTTGTTTGCAAATGGAACAATTCTCATTGTTTGAACGGTGCAACTTTTATCTCAGTTCATGTAACAATCGGGGTCTCATAAACAGAACGAGCCAGTTACAACACGCCAAATGGCGTAAACCGAACGATTTGAACACGTTTTTAGGTAAATGGGCCCATATTTCTACGATGGTGATATTTTAGGTGATAAAGGTCACTCAAAACTAATGAATCGACCGTGTTTCCTCATGCCAGTTGGCTTAAAATATCGCGTACTGTAACACATTTGTGAAAGCATTTATGGCTTATTTTACTGTGGGACGAAGGAAAAGACAAATCGAACTGAATAAGATGCGAAAACGCTGAATAATCAAAAAGAAAGTAAGATTACTAAGAGGTTCAAGCAAAGTAAAGAATTGTCGTTAGTTAGGAAGAACTATGATCACAGTTTTCCCCCAAGCAGAAAACAGTTTTTGGCAAATTACGGCAAGTTTTTTCAAACTAACGACAATCAGCCCCAACACAAAAAACCCACTTCGAAGAATAAAAAGTGGCAATAGTAAATAAACATAAATCAGTTGCAAAAAAACTGAAAGAAATCATGGAAATTGTAAATATCCTACCGTTATTAACAATTAAACTACTTATCAATTGTCAACTTACGCGTTGATTGATTGGATTGATTTTGACTCAGTTCCTCGCTCTGAGCTCCAACTCGGAGACAAACAATCAAAACTAGCAACGATTTGGCACAGTCCATTTTACCCGGATGATTCTTGATTAAACCATCAACTCGAAGCAAGAAAAGCGAATTCTATAAGCTGGAAAAAATCGAAAGTAAACCAGTATGCCAACCTATCTACCTGAATGCGAAGAAATATCGCAAGTTACAGGCAGTTGGAGGAACTGTTGGAGAAAGCACCGGCTAGTTTTTGTTATGTGGGGTGGCCGAAAAAACTAATGCGGAGGGGAGACTGGTAATTTTGGGTCTTTCAAACGTACTCACAAATTAAGTTGGGCCACATTTATTACACCCACTAGACGATTGTGTAATCAGGATGTTTGGTTTGGTAATGTGGCAAGAAGAACCGGTTATAAAACAAACTTGCGATTGTATGAAACCAATATACAATATGTAATTTGAGTGTCTTTGTGGACAATTGAGGAAGTTATTAACAATCGTTGCCCTAATGTTTAGCAATTTTAATTTTTTCTGCTATTATTAAATTTGTCTTCATTTTTCCAGACGTTGCTGAAATTATTTCGCGATCTGCGCTGAAGTTCTCTGTTATCAGGTTAGTTTAGATTTTATAATTATTTTTTTGCCTTCCTATGGTTCCCTTTTGGTGCCTCGCACTGCGACTCAGGCAGGAAACAGTGTTTCTAGGTGTTTTTCGCATTTCGATTTCAATGCTTTGCCAGCACCAAAAGCTTTTCAGGCGACCTGGAAAACAAAAGCCAACTTTTTCCTTTTGTGTTTGAGATACCCCGTGCGGGGTTGCCAGTCCCCCATCGGGCGCCTCCCCAGGTGGCGGATAGGGGAATGCTCCGGGGAAATAGAATACTCGGGGCGGATCAAAACTAGCACGGGACACGACAGAACTCCATGTTAGGAGCGGTACTCCAATAGCGTACTGACCCAGATTGGGCGGCTGATCCCCAAACCTAGGAAAGCAACGGGAAACTACCTAGGTACAACACTGTTCCCCAGGATACTTGTTATGGCGGAAAACGAAAATACCACGGCCGTCAGTCTCGGCACCACTTAAATTGGGACCCAGACAGCATTATTATCCATTGGACGTCCATAGGAACGGACTTCGGGCAGCCGCATGTCCAGTGGATGTCCATAATTTGTCCGATTGATGTCCAATTGACATCCATTTTTCTATACAAACATCACAGAATCCTACCTCCTCCGGATGTTCAAAATTCGTGATCCTATGGATGTACGTCTATAAAGCATCTAACGGACACGTCATATATTGTATTTGAAATATTAATTTTGGATTTCCAGAACTTCTGGAGGTCCTGATGACATGACATGATATTGTAGCGGAAATGGCCTGGGGTACTCACGTTTGAAATGGAGGTATCAAAATTCATGGTATTTCAGTAAATGGGAGCCCCATTTGGGCCCCATTTACTGTCAAATATGACACTAACAAGCGGGAAGTTTTGCACCTGGAGATTTCGAGAACCATCTGGATTACCTGGAAGAAATTATATAAGCGACGACGAGAACCACACAGGGGAAGTGAAGTGACAGCAACGACCGGGTGCAGAAGAGGTTAAACCCTGCGAGTCAGAAGAGCGAGTTTTGCGCCTGTTATTGTTATTGTTTGTGAAGTTGACGGTAATTTTGAAGTCAGTTTGTTTCTGTTCCGTAGTTAAAGTGATACCGAGTTGAATAAAAGTTGGAAGCAGAAGAAAGAGTTTGATACCCAGAAATCTACGGTACAGTATATAAATTATAAACATATTAGTATAGACATATATCTATATAATTTTATTAAAAACATATAAATATAGGAATATGAATCTAGCGACATGGAATATATTAAAAACGTAAATCACTACTAAACTAATAATAAAGTAACCAAAAAAATCAGACTAAAACTAAACTAAACATTAAGAACTTAAACATTTGAATGACTCTAAATTTATTATAAATATTACCTAAATAGAACAAAATAATTTTATGTACGGAAAACCAGAATACGTACGGTGACCTCAGAATTTTCACGAACTGCTGCAGCTAAAAACGTAAAGAGCTTAGTATCAACAGAAATATTGCAACTTGCAGAAGATATAGAAGATTTAATATACAAAATGACTGAATAAATAATAAACTTACTAATCAATAAGTCCCAAAACTTAAATTGGTTATTCGATTGGACCCTTAAATTGGAGGAGAGCAGATTTTGTTTGGGATCCAAAAAATGTATATTTTTGAGCCAAACTATTTGTTATTAAATTAGTAAAGCAGAGCTTAACAAACTCATATGGCGTACTTCCGCCAATTTTTACTAGGTGGTTTACCTAAAAAACATATACATTCAAATTCAATTTCATTACAAAATATTTCCCTAACAGCACTATAAATATTAAATCAGATATAGATTAACAGAATAAGATTAACTTTCTGTAAATGACTGGGAGTCAGAATTCTCAACATCGCCTTCAGAAAATTCGCTTAAAATATCATTGGTACTTGTCAAAGGATTAATGTATGTTTGCTCCAATATTAGACCTATTTGTTGAGTTTGACTTAGGTGATGAAATTTCTACATTCAACAAATTATCTCTGTTACAGCTTACAACAGATTTAATGATTGCTGCGTGTCTGCTGCACGTCTATAGTTTTTGCGGTTTGCTTTAGGCATGTTTGTTGTAGAATATTTCCAAATGAAATGAAAGTGGCGCTGAAAGCAAAAGCCATACCAAAAATATTATATTAATTGAGAAAACCCATACAGGGTAAAGTAGAAATACAAAATGGTGTATTAAAACCTACTGGATATAACGATATAAACTAATTAGTTTAGGCGTCTTAATTAAGATCTTTACCTTTATCATCACACTGATGCTGGCAATAGAGTATAGACTTTGCTTGTTCTTTATCTCTAAAGGCACATTTAAACCAAATCATGCACACTTGAACACATTAAGGTTAGCTTTTCATCTGGCACTGATCATCTGTCAATGCTCGGACGTCTTTTAAATACCGGTATTTCGGGTGTCCAACGGATGTCGAAATTACTACATCCGAAGAAGGTACAATGGACATTCGGCAGTCTTTGGGACAAGATTTGGATCTCCATTGGATTTGTAATGCTGTCTGGGAAGAAGGTGCTAAGAATCTCCCAGTCAACCAGTATCTTACAAGCTACATCAGAGAGAAGAATAGGCACATATGGAATGTGCAAAGCATGCGTCAGGCTCGAAAGGCGGCTTACACGGTTAAAGAAATGTTGAGATTGGGAATTGCTATACTCGCAATTACCAAAACGCGATGGCCTGGTTCTGGGAAGTGCGAAATAGAAGACCATCAGATTTCCCATGATAGAGAAGGCGCCCTCAACATCAAAATAGGGTCGCAATAATAGTATCGAGAGAAGTTGATAGTGCCGTGCTAGCATTTGTACCCATCTCTGACAGAGTAGCGATAATGAAGATCAAAGCACCAACATCGATAGCACCGAGGAAGAATAGATAATTTCTATATGAACACGAAAGAAGCTCTTAAACACACACGAAAAGAAGAAATCGCCCTTTTCTTGGGGTATTTTAATGCCAAAGTCGGCTGTGGACATGATGATGATACTGTCGAAAGATACGGGATAGGAGTGCAAAACGAAGGAGGAGAAGCACTTGTCCAATTCTGCAAAGAATTTAACTTTATAATTACGAACACATGGTTTAAGCAACCCCCCATGCGTCTATATACCTGGAAGTCTCCCGCTGATAACGATCGGCATATAGTAATAAATCAGATTGATTTTATAACGATGCGCAAGACGTTCCGAAACTCGATAACATCCGTAAAAACCTACCCTGGTGCAGACGTCCAATCTGACCACAATCTACTACGATTAAAGAAGCTAACAAAATCAAAACGAGCAGAACGAATGGAGACCGAGAAAATCTAGGAGATTTCGACACATCCATAGCCTGATAAAAAGAAAGATCAAAGAGACAAAGGAGGCTTGGTTGGCAGAGATAAATAGATGGATAGATAAATTTTATTAAACATTCACATTGTCAGAAAGTTACAACAAAGTAACAATATTATCAGATTTTCGGTCGGTTGCTTCCTTTGCCCATGATCTTATAGGAGCGCTAAGTCGTCCATTACCTGGGCAGTGCCCTAACATGGACATTCTCGTCAACGTCAGGAGATAAACCTAAAGTGGTGGTTTTGGTCTTATTCGAGGGACATTCAATAAGAAAAAAGGGTCCTCCTGAAG